CATTTCAGAAATGCACTGACATCGAGTCCTTTAACTCTAGAACATTAACATTTAAAAAAAGTTCCCAAAATACTGCTAAAAGTCTCGGCAGAGGGGATGGGGTGGGGAAAGGGGCAAGGGGACAGGCAGAAAGAAGTCCAGAGTTAAATCTGGTACCAGCTCCAGCTGCCGATGTCGAGACAAGCTGAACTGCAGCAGAAGCCCTCCTGCTGAGGTTCCCAGGCAGAGAGGGACAGCTCAGTAAGGGCAGAAAGTCAAAGGTGCAGTGAGCATCTGCAGCATTCAGTCATCTCCACCGTGCTTTGTCATTCAACACAAAAGCCTGACAGTTGTTTCAAGCAAAGGCTTGCAAAGTTCTGAATTGTCTTCAGGTAAGCTCGTTTGTATTCTTGCAAAAGAAAGACTTACCTGAAAGCTGAAGCTTGCATTACAAGAAAAGACAAAGTCACCTCTTGCTGGGGCTATTCAATTGTAGTCGACTTTGTTTTCTACTTGAAGCTGCCACTTTGTGTCTTGACAGCAGCTTCTTCCAACCCCCCTCCCTCAGTCCTCTTAAAAAGAACAGATTTTCCTAGTTAATTCAAAATGACTGAATTATTTCTCAATATAGTAACTCAAACTACTTACTGTATAATCAATGCTTTTAGATAAAAGTATCCACTGGGCATTTTATTTCACATAGATATCCATGGGGTCAATTACACTTGCTGTGCAAATCATGCGCTCGAGCCTGATCAGTGACACTAGAAATTCAATTATCTATGGCTTTCTAGATCAATCTTTTGATAGACTAGGGCACAGCTATGCAGCTATTTAATTTAATAAAGCTATTTAGATCCAACGCTAAGCAGATGGTGAAACTTGGATGTGGTTACATAGTAACACATTTGAAAGTGACAAGTCTAAATCTCTCACTTCGTCTGGAAACTGGCTTTGGGATAACCTACGACAATCAGCTAAGTAGCATCAACATCCAAATTAACCAGATTCTTCCTGCTATTAGGATATATCTGAAGGCAATAGGCAAGTAGTCTAAATATTGCCTTCTGGTATAAGCAGGACCATTTCCTCCAAGCACCGTTCCGTGTTTGCCTTTTTTCTTGCTTGCTCTGTGTCATGTATCACTTGCAAGTAAGGTGGTTTAACCATCTGCAGTGCTGCATCACTGTAGTTTTTCCAGCTATAAGAAGGATAGTTGATGTTGATAAGTTACCCATTCTCCACTTGGAAAACTCCTCAGAGTTAAACATACACGCACACTCCACATCCCTCATGCCTTTAGACAACATGAAAGCGGAGGAAAAAAAAATTATGCAACACTGAATCTCAAACATTTCCATACTGAGTTGAAAATTAATTAACACTGTCCTGAGAAGCCAGAGCAGAGAGAGACAAAACAATATTTTAGTAGCCAATTTTAAAACTGCTTGAAGAGCCAACACAAAATACAACTGAACAGGTGAGACTTTTTGCCTTAACCAGTATTTGGTGTTTTGTTACTAATCCAGGGCTTCTAGCAAAACTCCTGGCCACGGGAAACAGATCCAGCTGACAGTAAGCATCACACCTAGTCATCACAAGCATTAGTAAGAAAGTAGCATACTCTGAAACAGTGTGTGTCTTCCTCCAGCCACCTTAAGCCTTTTGCTCATTTGCTTGGCCTACCTGGGTAAACCGATCTCCAACTGACTCTATCCATCAATCTGGATTTTAAAGCTAATACAAAGGCACTTTATTTGCCCATAGCCATTTCTCTCTTTCCTCTCAATTCATGTCAAAGGAGGAAAGAACTTTGTTAGCTGTGGGATTAAAGTCAGGCTGCTTCAGTTTTTACACATAATAGGAGCAGTCACAGCTGAAGTCTGGTTTTAAAAGAGCCAGTTTATTAAAAAGATAGAAATACTCTATGTTTTATCTATCCCACTTGACAAGGAATTCAGCTTTTGCCACTAATAGTGCCTGAAAATAATTACTCCCAAATTACTATAGAGCAGTTCAGGAAAGTTAGAGATCTGTGGACTCTTTTTCTTGTGAGTACAGTACAATGGTGGTAGCAGAGACCAGGCTTGGACAGGTGTCTGTCTCTCCCCTGACCAGACAGCAGATAGGTCTGAAGGGCCGAAGCATGTTTTGTGGGTCCACTGCTGCATTGCACATGACCTAATAATGCATACAGCCATAAATCACCAGGATAAACTTCATTTTCTGGAGTTTGCTACAAGCTGAATTGTGTAAACAAATACTGGCCCAAAATACTTTGCTGTCAAGAAAAGGAGCTGTTCAAGCACAGATTATCTGAAGTCATACAGAGGACTATAACACACTTCTTAATGAGACAGGCAAGATGAAGTATTAGGGAGACTGAAACTGCAGGGACACATCCCTAGGGACAGGATCTAATGCAGCAAGATCACCAGGAACAAGAATGGTTTCATTGGGAAAGGGACAAAGGGAAAAAAAACAGACAGTGGAATATTTTATAACATGTCCTAAATACTTCACTTGCAATCCTTAACCAATACAGCTAGATCATGGTTTTCTCACAGATGCAAAATGAAGTTACTTTCCAGTATTGATATTAAAGTCACATGGCACTGGAGTGGAACCAGAAGCAAAAGTGGCAGGCAAGGATTTAGTCAGAGACATCAGATTTACTGAGTTACAGTAAGAGATTTACCAAGTTACCTGATATATGGTCCCAGGCATCAAAAAAAACTCAGAACCCACTGAAGTTTTACTAGAACAGGAACAAATTCAAGTGTGGTGCAATGGCAAAGATTCAAACTTCTTCCTCTAGCAGTCAGTATTTAAAAAGTTATTTCCTGTAAATCTCTGTTGGATTATAATTCTAATTTAACCTAGTGGAAGAGTACATTTCAAGTTGGAATATAATAAATCTGTGGCTAACCTCAGTCAAATGGAAAGGAGTTTTTAATATATTTCACATACACTGTGCATTCTGTGTGCAGCCCTGCACAGAAATTCAAACTCTTCTCAGCTGTTGAGGAAGCTGGAGTCTACTTGGTTTCCAAATTGGTCCCAAAATTGTGAGGTAAATTCCGATTTACAGTCTTGATTACTACTCATACAAAGGGTAAAAGAGTCACAGCTTGGCTTGTAGGCTCACAAACAGAATTAATCTTTTACTGGCAATTGAAGGATCTAGATTTAGATATAGCATAAAATCAAGTCAAGTTAAGGTCACAAAATAAGACTAGAAGAAGTTTCACTGAGGGGTTCTCAGTGCTGATTAAAATGCCTAACACATCTCTACTTGGATTTCACATTGTTTGAATAATTATTACTAAGACTCACAACCTATTTTTTGTGCATTTTCATTCAGTATAATTCAGCTAAAGGTACTAAGCTAATTACAAAGAACAATTTCTAGAAGCTGCCTAAACTTTAAAAATCAAAGTTCTTTCAGAAAGCACTCTCCACAATTAGGTCCTTTCACACACTGGTTTATTAGCAAAGACACTCCTACCTAGCAGTTCTTCATTGCTTACAAATATTTTCAAAGTATATCATCTCAGTTACACATCAAGACACACAAAGACAACAAAAAAAATGAATGAATGAATGCTGGTAGGTTTTAATACCATTGAATTTTTTAAGCAATATGCCAAATACACCAAAAGTTCTATTACGTGTTACCCTGCTGAGATATTCAACCACTCTTCTGCCTTTGCTTTTTACTAGTTGTCACAATTTACTGTAACTTCGACAAATCTTTTTAGAACATAGTTAGAACATCCTTAAACTATCTTTAAACACCTTCAGAACAACTGGTCAAGCAAGTGCTTCTAAGTTTCCACAGTACTGCAGAGATCTATGCCACCAACTTCACAAGCCCAGCTGAAACAGCTTTGGAACACCACTAAAAACTCAGAGCTGCTTGATTAGTGTCAAGCCTGATATTTTCACGACACTTGTAAGATACCTTATATGTGTAAACTGCAAGGAAGCACTAGCTTTGCTCTTGGGAATAAACGCATTTCCAAAAGCCAAACCAAAGTCTTCCAATACTCTGGGCAAGTACCACAGGTAGATAGAAAACCCCAGGCTGCCTCCCACGGGGCAATCGAGCAGTTAATTACCACAGACACTTGGAGGGTTTTTTCACCCAGAGCTTTAGCTCTCCTCTTCAGCAACCTCTGAAGTGACCTTAGTTGTCAAAACAATTTTGACTGCTCTGCTGCTATCTGTTACTACAGCACTCACCTGCAGAGACTTCAAACAATGCAGTGGTTCAGAGAGAACAAGTTCAGGTCTGTGGCATCAAAAAAGTTACTATCATACCTTTTAATCACTTATCTATACAACAGTACAGTTCTCTGCACCTGAATTTGTGTCATCACTCGGAGATGGAAATAGCAGCAACACTGCCAGAAAGAAGCTAAAGTTAAGAACTCTGAAGGTAAAAACCTTGCCTTCACTCTTCATGAATTATCATACCATTTTATTGGGCTTTCCTCGAGCTGGGTACCCAATATATTAGATAATTTTTGTGACTGAACAGTAGTAGTCCTTTAATAATATCTTATTGTTTCCCTTCTTTTAGTAGTACATTTTCTTAGATTTCACTTGTATTGTATGCACAAACATTTTAGATACTCCAAATACTAAATCTTATACTTTCTACAATTGGACTACCTTGTAGAATTTAAAGATACTTGAGCAGACGACAACTTATATTTACCAAAGCTAGAGATGTGAATTACTACTCTTCCCCTCCTTTCCTACCTCCCTCACCAGTGATTTTGGGTGTTCATTTACCTAAGTGCTAGATTTTCACAAAGTACTATATGCTTCCTGTAATGTAAAATAAATATTGAAAGGATTTCAGCAGGCAACACCACAGACATTCAAAAGTGGCACTGTTAGGAAAAAAAACATGCTCTGCATATGCAATCAGACAGGAGGAAACATATCACCAAAAAAGTGGATCCATTTTCCCACACTTTAAGCAATCTCAAATCTAAAGAACATATGAAAAATTTATATTTTGAATGTTTTTATTCCAATCAAAATACAAATACAAGCATTTGAAAATGTACAAAAATAAAAAAAGGACATTTTCTACATCTTGAAAAAGCAGATCAAACCTACTTCTATATGTACAATTCTTTCTGTGGGAAGTCCTAATCAGCAGACTTTTTTCTGTTCTCTTCTGAGCATTCTGTGCCAAATCTTCTCCCCCTAAATCCAGCCACACTGAAGACTACAAGCAACAATTCAAAATGCTAACACACTAAATGTCCCTGAATAGATTACAGTGAAACCATTTCTCACAGGTAATAAACCTGTAGGTGATAATATATTTTGCTAATGACTTTAGGGCAAATTACAACCTGATGGGTAGTTTGCAATTCAAGCTTTCTGCAGTTTGTTGATATATAACTTGGGTAACACAGTTGGACTACATTTTCAAGTTATTTTTACAAATTCAAAAAACCAGTTATAGCTTTGCTGTTAGCATTCTTCCTCCCTCCCTCCTTCCCCCAAAGTTTCAACTCTTGGCACAAAAATGTATCTGCAAATAAGAATAAAAAGCCATAGAAAAGGTGTGAACCAAAAATAATTGTTTTTTACATCATCTGCCAACATAACAGGGACTGAAATGATCACCTGCTCAATACCTCATTGTACTAATGAATGCAGAGGAAGCACTGTCACAACAACAGGTTTGAACCACTCTATAATGTATATCCTAATATTTTTGGTGTGAAGTTTTCCAGAATAACATTGATCAAATTATCTCAAGAGGTATAGTTCACTCACGGAATTGTCTGTCATTCCACGTGTTTTAATGTTTGGCCAAGACACTGTTTTCTTTTCATGTTTTGAGAGCTGAGGTTTTTTGGAGCTGCAGTAACATAAGGATAAGGTGAGGCAATGCTCATGGAAAGAGGTAGCTGCTTAAACTGACATTGTGGGAAAACATATTTTTGGGGGACATAAGTTCTTCTTTAGGCCTCAAATGCAGCAGGTAGCTTTAAAGTTTAAAACAGCTGCTCAGTTTACATGAATGTGCTCAGTTCCTAAAAGAAAAGCAAGGTGACAGTGGTTCAAAGGTAGATCCCAAGAAACAGGTTCTCTCCAACCTTTTCCTTTGCCTTCCCTTCAGTTGTCAACAGAAAGCTGTTTAGCAAGAGAACAGCTAATATCTGCTTCTACAGCATCAAGAACACAGGCACCTGAGCCACAATCTTCTAGCTGCTACTTGTAACAAGCTAGAAACATTTAATTTACCTCGCCCTATCGTGGATAGGGATCTCATTAACTTTTACAACGATGGAGACGAATGCAGTTTGAATACAGGTTCAACAACGACCTCCTGCCTGCAGCACACTTCACTGTGCTACCTTTCAACTCTGCTGCTTCTACAGCTCTGAATCTTGCCTCTAAAAAATCCAAACATCTGCAGAGGAACACACTAACACCACAGAAGTCATATTCAGTTCTGTACAAGACCCAGTCCAGTATGACACATCCATTCTTCTCAACATTTTGTCTTCAGGTCATCTAATGAAAATCATTACTCTGTACTTAAGTGTACATGTACTTAGAGAATACACAAGCCATTTAATTTTCTCCAGCAAATTTTAGACACCAACCTATTTTCTGCTGTCTTAAAATACTTTAAGATTGTCCTGTGAGCTCATTTCAGCACTAACAAAGTATATACATTTTTTTTTTATTTTCCTAAATATTTATGTTTTAGTCCACAGGAAAACTTATTTTTCTGGAAAGATCCTGAGGGCATTTTTTTAACCATTACTCCACACTCAAAAATGTCATGTGGAGTCCTGTTAGCACTGGTAACATCAGGACATTCTCCAATTACTTCACACTACTGATTAAGATTAAAGTGCAGTGCTGAAAAGTACTTGAAGTTGACTGAAGCCTTTCTTTTCTAAGACATAAGAACACATCCCAGGAAGTTTTACTGCAAACTGAGAAGAAAGCAAGGAGTGTATTTATTACCAAGCAAGGTAAACTCTTTAAAATAGGAGTCATACTTGGAAAAATGGCTAAATAGCAACTGATAGGTATGATGTAGTTTCATATAAGACTCTTATAGAAAGTTCTCTCTGTCTAGCCATCTACTTCCACCAAGTTTCATATCAACCTAACTGTAAAACCAAAATCAGCATGGACATCAACAGGCAAAATCAAAGGAAAAAAAAAAGTTTCTGATGTAAGGCAATTGCTTCACTTTTAACAAGGTGGGAAAACACACAGCATACTTTATGAAACAGCCAGTCAGTATTTGAGAGGTAGTCTAGTTGTTCATTTGACTGGGAGAGGTAGAGCTAGTTGAGAAATCAATAGCTAAGGCCAGTCAAAATGATTCCCAAGTTTTCTAAAATGTGAAAAAATGACTCTCAGCCCGAGACTAGTAATGTCACAAGGGATTCAGCTGTCTTGCTCATATTTACTCACTTTTACGTAGGTAAAGTTATTGTAAAATATCCATCCAGGGAGAGAATGCTCTAAGCAATAGCCAAGGAAAAAGCTTAGCTACATTTTGGCATGTGTCAACCAATTAATCTAGGTATGCATCTTACAACTAAAGCTAAAAGGCTCTCCTCTTTTGGCAGGTTGATATAACTACAAAACCAAACACATGCCCAAGACTAGAAGCAAGTTAGGTCTCAAATTCCTTGCGGTTTACCTATAATAAAATTCTCCATGCCATTTCTTCCCACAGGAAAAAATACCAATTATTTTAGAGATGAAAGCCAATGAGACATACGGGTCTTACAGTGAACAGGTAATAAAACCCTTGGTAAAGACATCTGGGTACAGAATCATACATAATGCTCCCTTGGATTGATGTAGACTCTTCCAGGTCCTGAGTTTTGTGGGTATCTGCTGCTCCAATTTTTGTGGTAAGTTTGTTGATAAACAGGATACATAGGCTGAAGACCTTCTTGTTCTTCTGGTTCTTCAGCCTCGTAAGTGAATTGCCTTCCATTCACAGCTTTCTAAACACACACAAGAATCAATGAGTTTCATACTTCATGTACAGAACCTGCAATTCCTTTTCTTGTTAAAATTTTAAGCAACAAAACAGTCCTATGAATAAAGAAACAAGAACTTAAAAATTCGAATCACCAACAGACATGACAGAAGCATTAGTAACTACGCAAAGTTAAGCTCAAATTTAGTCAGAATTTAAAGCTCAATGAATCTAATGAGCAAATCACCAGTTATGAAAACGTCTTGTCAGCAACTCCTGTGCTTTGTTATGTTACTCAACAAAAAAATCAAAGCTGCAGTGTTTAGGTATTTCAATTAGTCAGTGAAACTACTATAGGAAATTAAAATGGTATAGTCACTTTCCACTTCATGGATAGCAAACCCACACCTCCAACAGTTATTGACCAGGATGGACAAATGCTTTTTTGTTCATGAAAAACATCTTTATAAGCTTATTTTAAGGAACAAAATGAAATCAAAGCTTTATTTAGAAATTCAAGCTGTTTTCTTATTTACCATGTGCTGCAAGTTTCCAGCATCTTTCTCTCTGTACTGGCTTTGCAAAGGAAAATGTTCTTTCTGAAAGAAGAAAAGTTACAGTGGAAACAAGTCAAGATTCAACACTGCAGAACAGGTTTGCTTTATACAAAAATACCAGCCATCATAAAATACACTCTTCCTTGGGAAGTGTCTTAACTGACAACCATTTAGAACCCTTTTTATAAACCAATGGCTGGTGGAAAAGAAGACAAGGGTCAGTCAGGGTCATCTGTTCCAGCTGTGTCCCCTCTCCCAACTTCTTGTCCCGCTCCAAATCTCTTGTGCACACCCCCAGTCCACTCGCTGGTAGAGCAGTGCAAGAAGCAGAAAAGGCCCTGATGGAGCAAGCACTGCTCAGCAACAACAAACATCCCTGAGTTATCAACACTGTTATTTGCACAGACCCCTAACACAACCCCAAACCAGCTACTGCAAAGAAAATCAACTCCTCCCCAGCCAAACCACCCACTGTAAGAGATGAGGTTCAAGACCACATAAGGAATCTGGAGGTGCACAAGTTCATAGGACCCCATGAGATACATCTGCAGGTTCTGAGGTAACTGGTGCAGGAAGTGACTAAGCCATTATCCATCATATTTGAAAAGTCATGGCAGTCCAGTGAAGTTCCCACTGACTTGGAAAGAGGAAATAAACCCTCCATTTTTAAAAAGGGAATCAAAGATGATCCAGGGAACTACAGGCCGGTCAGTCACACTTCAGTGCCCAGAGAGATAAAGGAGCAGATTCTCCTGGAAACCACGCTAAGGCACATGGAAAATAAGGAGGTGATTGGCAGCAGCCAACATGGCTTCACAAAGGGCACACTGTGCCTGACAAATCCGGTGGCTGTCTATGACATGGTTAATAGTGTTAGTGGATGAAAGAGGAGCAACTGATATCATCTACCTGGACATGTCCAAAGCATTTGACGCTGTCTTGCATGACATCCCTGTCTCTAAACTGGAGAGCCATGGATGTGATGGATGGATCACTTGGTGGATAAAAAATTGACTGGATGGTCACACTCAAAGAGTTGTGGTCAAGGCCCCAATGTCAAGTGGGAACCAGGGATAAGTGTCATTCCTCAGGGGTTGGCATCGAGTCTGGCGCAGTTTAACATCTTGGTTGGCAACGCAGACTCAGGGATTGAGTGTAGCTTCTCCAGGTTTGCTTTGACATCAAGCTGTGTGGTGTGGCTGACACACCAGGGGAAAGAGTTGCCATCCAGAGGGACCCCGGCAGGCTTGAGAGGTGGAACCTCATGAAGTTCAACAAGGCCAAGTGCAAGGTCCTGAGCCAGAGCAGTCCCAAGCACAAATATGGGCTGGGTGGAGAATGGGTTGAGAGCAGTCCTGAGGACGTCTTGGGGATGTTGGTGGATGGGAAGTTACTTAATGCAGAAGACTCAAAATCTCCCTTCTTGCATTTTTTCTTTCACCATTATGAAGGAGCAACTTCATGAGTGAAATGGCCTATTTCCAAATATCCAGATAATCACCAACTGCCTGACTTAATGGCCAATCTTAATCACACCAAGTAATGTCAAGTGAATTATGATTTAGGATACATTTTACACTACAGTATCATCACTTCTAATTAAGCTCTTCCCTTTATGCCACACTTAGTAAAGGGGCACAACAGGCTAAAGCGGCAATTTTTGCACAATTCTATAATTTTTGTTTTGTAATTCCTTCTTTTCCCACCAGTTTCACATTGGTAGCAACAACACAAAATACCTAAGGTGCTGGTCTTGCAGCAGAACCCTCACATAACAAGTATTCATACAGGTAGGTAACATTTGCAGGGGTTCTCACTTGAAAAAATAATTTTGGAAAGTAAATCTCAGTAATGTTTCTCCTTCTTTTCTCCTCCTTTCCCTTAGCTTTTTACTTTTCCACATTTGTTTAGTTCAAGTTTTGAAGCAGCTTTGAGTTATGTAGCTTTTAATATGACCCCCAAATGCATTGTAAAATTACTTTAAAAATCGTCTAATATATTCTACCTTCTCCACTTCTCCAACAGTTATTTTTCACCATCTTCACAGGTCTATTATTCCAAATTTTGTTTGTTAAACTTTTTGCCTTGTAATTCCATTTCAAAACGTCCCCTCCTGCCCTTAAAGTCACACTGCTTTTGCTTTTCAAGTCCTAAAATGTAATTTGCAGACTAATTCTGAGAATATGTCATTTACCACTTACCAGGAGATGCTGCTCTTTCACATCTGAGCTAAGAGCATGAATTCAGCATCACACAAGAAGGCAAAACACACGTGGAGAACAAGAACCCCCCACCTTCCCCAAAGGCTAATGTTCTGTGAGAAAAAAAAAATCTTCTTGCTCAAGACATTCTACCAGTAGTGGATTTAGACATGATTAACACAAACACTGGAAAGCGGAAGAGCAAATTCCAGTTAGTTCATTTATTCAGTTAAAACTAGAGACAAAGGAAATCATCTTACATGGCATGAGAAGACAAGACCTTTGCCAGAGAATAGAGTTGTACATTTTACAGCCATGGAGCAAGTGATAGAACCAAAATCATCAGGTTCTGTCAAACAAAACTGGTGTTGAGCTACACTATTTCTATGCAGGGGGAGACAGTGTACTTGGGGCTCTGTGCTGATACCTAACAGCAGTTAGCATGGTATTAGCTTTACATTTTGCAGAGTTTCATAAAAACAGTTTTACTCTGAGCATGCTCCTTCTCAAACAGTCCTTTAAAAGCCTAAACCAATTATCTCACCAACAATTCCGTCCTGTTTTCTCTCATCCTTTCCAATTTAGAAATCCCATTACAAAAGCATCTACTAAAAAAAAAAAAGCTTGTGCCTCAATCTAACCCCTATCTGGGCAATGGTTTTTGGGTTTTTCCCCTATTGTAAGACACTTTATCAATATTGATGAGGTGCTTCCTTTCATTCAGTCTCGTCTGGCTAAAGAGTTCTTCAGTCTATTATAACAATAATACTGCATTTTTCATCAAGGAAGAGTTACTTTCATCTGCATGAAGAGCATTAGGAAAAGAACTGGAAGAGTGGAGGGGAACCACAATCTCTAAATGAATCAACATTACGCTAGGTTTAAGAGTACTGCGGGTGATGTTTTCCAGTCTGATTCAGAAATATCGTCGTTTGGTAAATGGTGTTATAGGCTTTTAACTGTGCTAAGACAACTTCACTATTTTCTTTCCTGGTTTGGAATAGGAACACAAATATTTCTGTTAAAGAGTTTTAGCATTTGACCTGTTTGTGTGGCTAAATAAGTGAGGCATTTCTCCAAGCTGCAAGTCTAAAGTCAGTCTCCTCATGGCCAGAACTACCTACTGGGCTGTGCTTTCCTTCATCTACTCTTATCTTCTGTTGCTAAAGAAGAGCCTTGTTACATTCTGAATCCTTCAAGAACTCTGAATGTTGCACTGCATTATGCAAAACAATGTTTTTTTCCTCTTTCCTTCAGGAGCACCTGTCAAGCTAGTAATAGCTTCAGTTCTTTCCCGTTGTCAAAGACTACCCATCTCAGTCACATTTCAAGGCAAGTAAAGAAGTTTTGTTTCTAAGCAATACATTCTTTGAAACAGTGAATTTAATGATTCCAAGGATTGCCTGAATTAGTACACCCTCTCCCACTGCTTT